ATATAAATAAAAGCATGACATAAATATTGTATTTGTATGCTGATAGTAATAATCCACTCAGGGAACTCTTTACTGTAAAGAAATTTTTCTGCACGGTCCTACAACTGATAGTTTGACAGTTACAGCAGCAGCAGTCAGGTTGACGTTACACAGCTGCTGACAGATGCAACAGAAAACCCTTTCTGAGGCTTTCAACATACTGTAATAATGCAACATAAGGAAGTGTCATCATCTTTGCTAACTCTCAACAACACTCCCAACATTGATACAACCCATGAGATGAGCTGAAAAAGAAGAAACATGAAATTGTTTTCAAGTATGAATCAATTTAATGCATGTTCAGATGATCCACATCTTTTTTAAACGGATGCTAACGGCAAAGTTATGCAACTAAAATGAAGATGTTAGTGTTTTGGTCAAAGATTTTTCTTTTTGTTTTACAAAGTTCCTCACTTCTTTAACGATACAGTTACAGTGTGCAACTGTGCAGACTGCATCACGAAGGGATATTTAAATTTAGTCCATTTTCATTTATGTACAGCCACTATTTTATACATTTACGATTTGGCAAAGTGGTGAAAGACCAAATGCTACCACAACAGCTTAAGTGACAACCTTTAACGACCGTGGAAATTATTAAATATTTCCTCCTGGTGTATAACGAACATATTTACATCCCATTCCTCTCTCAGAAACATGGACATGGTTATACCATTTTGCTCTGAAAAACAAGAATGTCCAAACTGGAGTAGTTTGATAGAAACCAGAATACTGTCCATGTTTCTGAAGGGACTCTGTTGGTTAAAAGTGCTGTGGATGAGATGCTAATAAGAAAGCACATCTTCCTGAGCATATTAGATGGTTGATAATAAACCTGCACCTATCTTACCTCTTCCTTGTGCGTGTTACAATATGTTCTTGTCTGCATTTGAAAGTCACATCGTTTACTGTGCTGGAACCTGACTACGTTTCTTTCCATCATATGCAAATGTGAACTGTGTTTTACCTCCTAACGTGTTGCCTCTGTGCCTACCTTAGTTTCTGTTTGCATTCCGCTTTAATGTTGTACCTCTTTCCTCCAGTTCTCTGCAAATTTGCTCACTGTCTTTGTTTTTTTTCAAGAACCTAGCTGTCTTCCTCCATAACTCCACACTTCTTGTCCCAGAAGTTTCACAACAAAATATTATTAGCTTTTTGACACATAGCTGCCAATAGGGCTGCCACGATTAAAATAATCGGACTAATTTAATAATCGATTAATCGTTTTCTTTTTTTTTTGTTTGTTCTTTACTTTGTTTTTCTCTCCAAACTGCTTTGACACCTTCCACTGCCACGTCTGCCTTTCTG